GATAGGAGAAAGCATGCCATCTCTAAAAGTCATTTCCCTACAATCTAATGGATTCAGTGGAATATTACCGCCAAATATTTGTCACCTATCAAATATTCTGATCTTGGACCTATCTCTAAACAATATCTCAGGAATCATTCCAAAGTGCCTTAATAACCTCACTTCCATTGTTCAAAAAACAGAATCAGAATATTCCCTTGCAAATAATGCTGTTCTTAGTATTTCTTACTCTTGCGGGAGCTCTTGCAGGTCTGACACTTGCGGGAGCCGTTGCGGGTCTAACGCTTCCAAGAGACTTTACACGGCACCAGGTAGCTATGTTGAATATCAGAATGAGATCCGTGTTAGATTGAAAGGAAGAGAGTATGATTATCGAAGCACGCTAGGACTTTTGAGGATCATTAATTTTGCAAGAAACAAATTAGTAGGGGAAATTCCAGAAGAAATAACAGGACTCTTATTGTTGGTAGCACTGAATTTATCCGGAAATAATTTGACTGGAGAAATCCCTCAAAATATTGGGCAGTTGAAACAGTTGGAATCACTTGATTTGTCAGGAAACCAATTATCAGGAGTGATTCCTATCACAATGGCTGATCTAAATTTTCTGGCTTTCTTGAACCTCTCCAACAATCACTTGTCGGGGAGGATTCCGTTAAGCACTCAGCTGCAAGGCTTTAATGCTTCACAATTTACCGGTAACATTGCATTGTGTGGGCTGCCACTCTTACAGAAATGCCCTGGAGACGAATCAAAGTCCACCTACTAATGATGACAACCGAGGCAAAGAAGTCGTTGCTGATGAATTCATGAAATGGTTTTGTACTGCTATGGGAATTGGTTTTAGTGTATTCTTTTAGGGAGTTTCAGGTGCATTACTGCTAAAACGTTCCTGGAGACATGCCTATTTCCGGCTCTTGGATGAATCATATGACTAGCTCTATGTGAAGGTAGCACTGCTCAAGGCACGACTTCTGTTGGGAAATCCGACCGGTGATGTACTGATATTTGCTCATAGGAGAAGAAGCACACTGAGACAATATTTAACGTGGTTCGGCAAACCGCCTACATCCACGGGAGAAGCCATTGCATTATGTAGGGAGAGTACAAGATTTACAACAATAGAGGAGGAGGAATCATCCCCTCTTTGGCAACTCTCAACCTCACTTTATTTCTCTCTTTTTAATGTTGGAATGGCAGCCCACTCTCTCCTACATTTCTCACATCTTTAGCTCTACTTCCTCTTTCTCATTTTGCTCTCTAACATATGCCTCTATTTATAGGCATTCATAGAGGCTATTCTTGGTTTGTTGTCAACATTTGTGGCTACCAACTCTAGCTCATTCAACAATGGTGGCTACCAATAGTCAATGGTTGGTGCCATCCATTTGTTGCACATGAAATGGCAACCAACCTAACAATCACCCCCTTTGCCATTCATGTGGGGCAATTGTCTTCTTGCTTCTTCAACACAAGCTTGCATCTTGCAGCTCTTCCAACCTTTCCATTCTGAGAGCATCTTTGGCCAAGTTTATAGGTACTCGCCAAACCTTTCAATCATCAGAGTAACCAAAGCACACCTTTTTCTCACACAAAAGGATCACTATAACCAGATGGTCTACCACATCACATCTGAATAGTGTTAACGCTTGTCTCTGGAACAACATTCCCCTTCGAGCGTATCAACCATGCTCGATCCAGAATGATTCATCAAGCCTCACATCAAGGCTTATAACACCCCCTCAAACGGATATTTCAAGTAAGACAATTATTATCTGAGTATCTCAATATGATCATAAGCTCACCACTCTTCCAAAAGTCTACTCATCCAAGAGTTGCGTCTGCCCTCTGTTCCACCCTAGAAACCATGCCTTACTTCTCCATGAGTCTCCCACTCTTAGTCTCAAGAGTCCAGGTAGCTTTCCACTTTTAACCATGGGGGCAGCCCATAAAAGGTTGATCCATATCTGTCTTCATACTCTGAGTATTACAATGCCATTACCGAGCTCACCACCTTGACAAGAGTCAACTTGTTCCCGGAACCTGCGCATGCCCTCTGCTCCTTCATAGCAGCCGCGTCTTAATGCTCTATAAATCATCCACTTATTGTCCAAGGCAAATGTCTTCTAACTCATTGATCTTTAGCATGGGGGCAATATCCATGAAAGTCAATCCTGTATTTTTCTCCATACTCATCATAGCCTTTTTATTGGCTATCCATCTGTCCACTCATACCTAGCCATCACATTGGCTCTGGGGCGTTCTGAACTGGGCTCTTTCCATGGCCCTCACACCTTCTCTTGAGGTGTCTCCGCTCGTCGTCATGTGGCGGTCTGATCATGAGCTCATCTCATAGCCCTCACACCTTCTTTTTAAGGTGTCTTCGCTTTTCATAGGCGGTCGCATCCTCCTTCAGCTGAGATGCTTCAAAGTGGCTCCATAAATTCTTTGCCACTAATTACATAGAAAGAGAAAGTTGCGGTATACTCCTCACAATCCTCCACCTCAATTTCTATGTTTGGAGCTTCTACGCCTTTTCTGCTTAACAGCTCCACCCACACCAACTCCCTTTGGTGTCTTCGCCTTTCATCATGGGCGGTCGCTTTTTATCATAGGCTTTTGCACCCCCTCAATTAGGTGCATCTGCAATAGCTCATCCTTCCATCCTTGCATGCATTGGAAAGGTCCTTGCTTGTTACCTTTATCAAGAGCACAAGAGACTTTTATTGTACAACTTTTTCATAGTCTCTACTCTGAGCTTCATCTGGGAACTCTTCTTCTCCTTACACCTGTTGTCTCATTATAGTACCTCATTGGATCCTCCGGGTACTCCTACACAATCTTCGTGTGCTCTAGTGCAATTTTGGTTCTCCAGATTTCTCCATATTCCTTGCTTATGTTTGACTGCAGCTCATCTTGTCACAACATCTATCCAAGTCAAAATAGGGTGCCAATCTTTATCCCTTTGCTGTAATTCTCTTCCATTATCAGGGTCTTCATCAATTCTCCCTTCGAGAAATTACAGTCACCGAATCTAACTTCCTTGGAGAAATCACCACTCCATCAGATCCTTGATCATACAGAACCCAACTGTTCCTTTGTGCCGTCATCCTGCTAGTCTTCAACAGTTTCATAACAAACTGTCACATATACAAAAATAGTATCGTATGGATAATCCTTCCACTAAGCAAGTTCCCAGGAAAGATTGGAGGGGTCACAACGGTCCTGCTTAAAACTCAATCTCCTAGCCAGAACTTCTTAGGCCATATCTATCCATCGTACTGTCTTTTCGTATATACAACCATTTGCTAGCTTTGTCGCGGCTTTCCTTTACAAGTGATCTGGGGTATCCTTTTTTTATACCTGATTTCTCAACATCTGGCGAGACTACCAGTGCTTAGATTCATCAAGATTGGTCTTCATCAAATTTCACTCTCCACCTCAAATTGTCCAAATGATTGGGTGTCCAGAGTGTCCCAATTTTACCTTCCATCAAGGCAATTAAAATTCCCCATATAATAGTTCAACATATGTAATTGGGCAAACATGTGTGATTTCTTCTTCTTCAGCTCCATCAACCACCATGATGACCATCAGATGCCTCCTGATTGGACAATCTCTCTTTAATAATTCATCACTACCATTTCTGATCTCAATCTCAATGATGGACCTTACCATTGCATCCGGAACGATTAAATTAGCTGGAAACAAGTCTGAAATCATCTAAATCGCACTTCAGATGGCTAAGATTTGATCACAACAATTCTGGCCTGATAAACGGCCCAGATTCAATCTCAGAACCGGTTGCATATAGACTCCGCCACACAGAATCTCGTCCCTCGGCTCGCGACTCGGCTCGGCTCCAACTCAGCTCGGATGGGCTTCGAATCTGCAAAATCTAACCTTACAAATGTGTCCGGAATGGCCAAAAATGTTAGAAATGATACTGAGATCACCTGAATCGGACTTCGGATGGCTCAGATTTAAACAATCAAACTTTGGGATCACTAGACGCTGTAGATGACGCCACGTGGCATGAGGAATAGTCGTTGCGCCACACTGGATTAAAACCCAGGGAGCTTACGCGGCTGCCACGTGGGACATATGGGGTCCACCAAATCTGATGTGGCAGTCCCAGGTGGATTTATGGGTGATGTGGCATAACAGCTGACGTGCCTAATAACGTGGCAGTTTGACTGATCAGAGTGCTGATATGTCAGGTGACGTGTCTGATGACTGTGTAGAATTGCTGACATGCCTAATGACGTGGCAGTTTGACTGGTCAGAGTGCTGATGTGTCAGGTGACATGTCTGATGACTGTGCAGAACTGCTGACGTGGCTGATGACGTGGACAGTCCCCCCGCCGGCGCGCACGGCGGTTTCCGACATCCGATTTTGACGCGGTTTTCACTAGTGGCTTCGTCTCTTCCTCCTCTACACAATGGTATGGTCAAAACACAATTTTGACAACTTTCATTTTAGAGCAAAATCAAACATCACTTTAAACCAAAAGCTCTGATACCAATTGTTGGGAAATTCGACCGGTAATGTACTGATATTTGATCATAGGAGGAGAAGCACACTGAGACAATATTTAACGTGGTTCGGCAAACTGCCTACATCCACGGGAGAAGCCATTGCATTATGTAGGGAGAGTACAAGATTTACAACAATAGAGGAGGAGGAATCATCCCCTCTTTGGCAACTCTCAACCTCACTTTATTTCTCTCTTTTTAATGTTGGAATGGCAGCCCACTCTCTCCTACATTTCTCACATCTTTAGCTCTACTTTCTCTTTCTCATTTTGCTCTCTAACATATGCCTCTATTTATAGGCATTCATGGAGGCTATTCTTGGTTTGTTGTCAACATTTGTGGCCACCAACTCTAACTCATTCAACAATGGTGGTCATCAACTCTAGCTCATTCAACAATGGTGGCTACCAATAGTCAATGGTTAGTGCCATCCATTTGTTGCACATGAAATGACAACCAACCTAACAACTTCAACGAGAATTTCAGAGGCTGCAAGAGCACGTTCTTGCTTAGAAGGATTGCAAGGTAATATGGTTATTCACATATCTTTTCCTTTCTATTTATATTGTAGACTAATGGGTCATTTTATACAGGAGCTGCAGCTGGGTGCATAACAGGTCCTCTTTGTCCAAGGAGTTCGTGTTGTTTTCTGGAGCTACATCGTCCTTTACCTTGGCAACTTCTTCGTCGTCTACTACAAGTTTGAAATAAGGTTCCAGTGGAGAAATCTTTGTACAGCTGCTGGGGTTTATGGGAAACGATGAAAGTGATTACGTAATATATTATGGAATCTCAAAGTTGGTTTTAATGTGAATTTCATTTGGAATGTGTTTGCAAATATTTAGTTCTTTACTTAACAGTGTGAAAATGGAACACATTCATTCTCCAAATCAAAAAATTATGCCAGTACTTGCTTATTTTGCTACAGAATTTAATTAAAAACACATGTAATTTACATTTTTATTTATCTGCTTTTGTTGAATTATTCGCATTAAATCAAGCAAGCAGGTATTGAAATTGATGTTAACTCAAACCTATACATATAATCACCGGAGGAAATAAAATTTCAGAGAAATTTCTTCGAAGATTAGTTCAAAAGGTATGAATGTGTCAATGGTGATTGTTGAAAAGTATATGCCCAATCATATAAGAAAGGAAGGAGAAAAAATGGGGTTGCGTTGCAGCCACTGACGAGTTCCATTGCAATCTTACTTAATGAGTCAATGCTACAAAGCCATTAAAAAAAATTAAAAGGGATAATGAATTCCTGTACATTGTGAGAAGAACAATGGTGCATTCACATATTGCTTTCTTCTTTGTTTTAGTCATTTAAATATTTTCAGTCACTTAATTTGTTTTGCATTTAGATCTTTCCATATCAAATTTATATGGAATTAGATTTAATAATTTATTTTAATTAATTTTATTTTAAAATTAAAATGACGCTCAATTTGGGTATCAAAATTGACATTAAAACAAAAATTCAGTCTCGTTTTTTTTTCCCCATTGTAGCTAAGGCATGTTTTGAAGTATTTTGGCCCCTCAAGTTTTAATGTTTGCAACTTTTATCCCTTTCTTCTATGGCTTTTACATTTTACTTCAAAAATTATTAGTTTTATTCACATTTCAGATTTCGAGTTCGAGAGAGATGTTGGAAAATAAAATAATAGTGAAATTTTGTAAGTTGGCCACTTTTCGATGACCGAAAACATTATTTTTGGTATTAATGGCTTTATTTTACTAGAAAATTTCAATTGAAATATTTTTTACTTATCTTGTCATAAAGAATAGATAGGGCCCCAGGTTTGTTTTTTAAACATTGAGAAATTTTAATTTTTTGAACATTAAACATTTTAGATTTGATTTTATTAAGATTTATAGAGTATTTTTTAAGTGTTTTTTTTTTTTTTGATTTACGTGGGGTGTCCGGGCCAGCTTACGCGCACCACGACTAATCCCCACGGCCCACTGAATACCCTGCAAACCCAGCAGGCAGGTAAGGCAGCGCGGGGCTGACAGGCATGCAACTCCAAGGCTCGAACCCGTGACAGCAGAAGGCGCAAGACGCCATTCCACCGTTGGGCCGTTGCCTTGGATATTTTTTAAGTGTTTTGAGAGAATGAGTAAGTGTGTATTGTCTATTCATTTTAAAAAAAAAATACCCATGTTTGTGCTGACCTTTATCATCAAGTCCTTCTGCCTGGCCTGATTTTTAATGGCCAGTTGGGCCGGCCAGAACCTATTTATTACAAATTCTAACATAAAGTTTTAATGATTGTTATACTTTCTAAAAAATATGCTATGTATATCTTAATTTGATTTAAAGCTTATAACATGACATTTAATTTAATTTATATTAACAACAAATATTTTGATACAATTCATTAATTTATTTCTCCTAAGAATACATTAAAAACTTATATATATTGAAAAAATTAAAAATTACA